CCGATTTAATGTAAATGGTGCACCAAAGTCCCTACATATCATTCATTTTCCACGAAGTTTGAAATATCGTACTGACTGTGTGTGCTAAGTATCGTGAAAATCGGTCAAATTTAGATATAGCTCCCATATATATTTCCGTCCGATTTAATGTAAATGGTGCCTCAAAGTCTTTATATATTTTTTGATTTGCACGAAATTTGGCATAGCGTATTGAATTGAGTCTAGAATGATGTGTGCTAAGTTTCTTGAAAATCGATTCAGATTTGGACATAGCTCCCATATATATTTTCGTTCGATTTAATGTAAATGGTGCACCAAAGTCCCTATATATCATTCGACTTGCACGAAATTTGGCATTGCGTACTGAATTGAGTCTAGAATGATGTGTTTGGTGAACATCGGTTCAGATTTAGATGTAGCTCCCATATATATTTTCTTCTAATTTTATGTAAACTGTTAGTGCACCGAATTTTGTCCGATTGGCACACAATTTTGAAGTTATAAATTAATCTCTGGCAAGTTTCATTGAAATCGGTTCAGACTCCTAATGTTTGTCCGATTGACACGAAATTTTGCACAGCGTATCAAATTGAGACTAGAATGACGTTAATGCGATTGCATTGAAATTGCGTTAAATATATTTCGAATGAGATTGAATTTTGAACAGTGCGGTATACCGAATAGCGTGTATCAAATTTGCTTTAATTAATTTAAAAAAAATTTCTTCCACTGTGCACAAACGACAATAAATTTGGCATATGGGCAAAGGTAATACAAAAAGGTAATACAAAGTCGAAGAATTTGTTTCTTTAATTGTGCTTAAGGGAATCCCCCCCCCCTTTGGTAACAGTTTAAAGGCCAACCACTCCTCTTGGATATACCATCAACTTCTCGAGTGTATGCCCTTCAGGAGTAAATATATACGATATAGAATAAAAATTTTGTAATTTGTCACACAAAAGTCAGAGTCCATTTGCCCCGCTAAATATTGACCAATCTTTATCAAAATAGGTATGCTCATTCTTTTGCCCGATCCTGTTCTCCATGTAAAATTTCGCGATGTTCAGGCCATAATTGCAGCCTCTGGAGCGACCAGAAAATCAGACAAAATTAAAGTTTTTGGTCCATTTCATCCCCTAAATATTAACCGATCTTTACCATAAACAATAGGGATCTTCATTGGGCAGAACCCATCCTACATGAACAATTTCGTGAAGATTGGTCCATAACTGTGGCTTGTATCGTGTTTACAAATTAGATTGACTCAGCTAGTCGAGATATGACGATCGGTGTAGATAAAGGTGTGTCTAGGACCAATATTTCGCCGCGTTACAAACTCTTGGGGCTGCACAAAGCTATAATACCCTGACGACATAGTTGTGTGGGGTATAATAAGGTAGTTCTTCATCGATTGGCTTTATCCTAGTTCATACGATTGATATACACTACCAGAGAAATGTGACAAAATTTGGAACCGATTGGATTATTAGTTTTTGAGTTATCGTGCCGCCATTCGTAAAATACTGATTCGAGAAAAATGAGTTTACAGTTTGAGAATCACTCTTGCCGTCACTTGATGCTGACACAATAAATCGGCTATATCTTCAAGTGTTCTTAAGATTTTCACTTGAAATTTTGTAGGGACATTCGTGAAAATAAAATTTTTTGACACAGAGAATAGGGGTCCCTTAAATACGTGAAGTAAAGCAAAAATACAAAGAAAGACCACATTTGTCGTTTTTTCTTCTTGTTCATAGTATAAATACTAATTTAAAGACTATAAATGCAGACACTGCAGAAAAAAAACTGCAAAATCAAAATTGTCGCATGAGTTGCGTCACGTAAGTGACCGAGAAAAATCCTTCGCAAATAAGAGATATGCCAAACTTTGAAATTTTGAAAGTGCAATAATAATGCTTGATATCTCTTGTTCATGTAAAGAATATAAAAAGTTCAAAATATTCACACAATTCGCAGAGTTTTTCCCATTATTAGCAATGGTGTCTAATGTCATGTATATTTGAAGTCGCGGAGGCCCTCAATTTTTTTTACCACAGATTGTAATCCTAAATTTTCTAAAAAAAGTATTACGAAGAATTACAAAAATATGTAATTGATTTGAATTTATTTAACACTAGCTGAACCCGTGGCGCTTCGCTGCCCATACTAAAGTTATTAACATTGGATAATTAACGTCGAAAACTATTTGTAGGTATTTCGTAGTGTAATATCAGTAATAATTTCGTAGCAACCGGTCTATGTATTAGTAAAATTGATTCTATTCAATTGATTACAAATATATTTTTAGATAACCGTTGAATAATGGTGGTAGTATTAAAAACAAATTTAGCTTGACTTTTCTAATCAGTTGTAATAGTACCATATAGAAATATATTTTCTCCAATATTTACATGTTTCTCATTAATCGTTCCAAGACCACTAAAATCCTTCATTTACATTACATCAACTTTTTATGTCAGTATTCTCAACAATTTCCCCATGAAATGATTGGGATCCCTTTCACACTCCGATTAATATCGCTAATATACCTGACTTATGATCCTTGTTAAGTTTGAGTTGTGTATTTTTAATTGTTTTATTGCCAATAAAAATTCACAGTAATGCATTATCACATAATATATTTACCGAACCTAGATATAGTACTGTTATTCTTAAGAAACCATGATCAAGTCCGAAGATAGGATTTGTGGCATTTAAGTTAGTCATTTGCTCTATACATCCTCGAAATATATCAGCTATAATGATAAGCCAACACAGATTTCGGACTTTTATAACTTTTATTCCACAATCAGCATTTCTCTTTTAGATGTTTCCCATGTTGAATTCATTGTCTTCAATGGTGGTTGAATTTTTTAAATTAAAAAATCCAAATTTTATTTTTATTTTTTTTCATAAATTGACAAAATGTAAAAATTAGAATGTCAAAAATTTTTCATTTTACACAAATTTTATTCCAATATGTAGATAATGGAGAGATGAAAAACAGCAGACGTTGGCGAAATTACTGAACTGGTGGTTTTTATCATTACTGATAATAACATAAAAGAACCAAAAATGATTAGTCGAACATTATCGATTTGGACCAATTTTGTTAATTCCTGGTCACTTAGGATTAGTATGTAATTATCTGAGTATCATAAAATTTTTTCAATGAGCCGATTTACTTAAGATATTCAAATATATGCATAAAAAATGAATATTAGTTCAGAGGTATGATTACTGTTGATGCCTCGTCATCGCGGAATTTTCGAAGTTTATCTTGCCTATCTTACTTACATGGGTTGGCATGACTTACTGCGAAAATTTTAGTAAAATCTATTTGGCGGTTTTTGTGTCAACAACCAAAAGAGTTTCCATTTTCTACATTTAGATTCATTAAATGCAGTTAGGAGTATATTTTCCCCTATTGTACCACGCCAATTTTTATAGGGATGATGCGTATTTGCTACGAAGTTACTCAGACAAATTTTGAAGAGGGAATCTGTGACCCTTCTTATGATATATGCTTAGAAAATGAATAATAGTTCAGATGTATAATTACTTTCGATGCGATAACTCCACATCCACGCGAAATTATGGAAGTTTATATAGCCTATATTATTTTCCTCGGATGGCATGATGTGCGGTAAAAATGTCAGTAAAATCTATTCAACGGTTTTTGAGTCTAGAAACAAAACATTTTTTAATTTCCTACATGTAGATTATGTGAGTGTAACGGAGAGCGCATTTCCACCGATCTTATCTCTTTAATATTTTTATGAATAATGTGTATTTACACCTACGATATACAGATAAATTTTGAAGGCATTATCTGTAACCGTTCTTAAGGTAAACGCATATTACATGTTCAGAAATTTTGAGGTATGTTTACTATTGATGCTATAACTCCGCATCCACGCGGAATTTTAAAAATTTATATAGCCTATGTTACTTTCAGAGCATGCCCCGACATACAGTGTAAATCTCATTAAGATCTGTTCAGCGGTTTTGGCGTCTATCGGTAACATACAAGCACACAATTTGTTTTCTATTTTATATATATAGATTTAAAGTTTGATTTTGCCTCTGAATGTAGAGACATATGTATGGATTGATGTTAGTCGGTTCACATATAGGTAAAGATCACATATTTAAGTTCGTTCAATTGTATGTCAATATTCCTTGGCTTTTTTAATAGATAGGATGATATAAAATACACTAACATAGTAAAAATTCCAAAGTTGACCATTGATCTTGAATTCCTGAACCTAATACTATCGTTTTTATTTCGCCGACACAAATTGGATGAGAGTATGCCAAATCGCTTAAATTATTACAATATTTTTCAACCATGCAAAACTAACCCACTCTAATGGTGTCGTTTTTTAATAGATTCTAAATGTTTTCAATTTTACATTGTAAAAATTCTCTATCTATATCTGAACTGATGTCAGGATAATTTCACTGATATTGCTTGCTGGAATTTTAAAGGTTTACCAGATTTGAGCGATTTTTTGTCTCAAGTCCATATCGTTGGGCACATGGTGGCACTAATTATGTATCCCTTATCTTACATTTCATTGTAATTATCTGATATATTGTAGCGCCATCTAGTGATGAAATCGCTTTGCTGCATAAACTCAAAGTAATTTCTATTGGATATTCATTTTATTTCATATGAATCACCATGTCGTCTCCGATAGTGCCTAAAAGTATGCTACAATATTTATCAAAATAAAACACAACAAATGGATTTTTGTTACATGTATTTTCATGCGATTGATGCCTTACTTAATAATAATAATACTGATGATGTTAATAATTGTGATTATGATTATTAACAATGATATATTTATATGTGTTCGGAAACATAACTTACGAACAATACACATTTATTGTTGTCAATGTCAGGTAGGTGCACAAACATTTCAACAGACATACGTACATAGATTAAAGGTCAATACTCAAATGTCGCTTAGGTAATTTCATTCAGCGTGGTTTTAATCATTTTTCGTTGATGTTTTCGCAGTGGATTTCTTAAATCGCCGATATGGGTTGTTGTAACCGAAAGGATTTACCAATTGATTGGGTCGAGCTCTTAATTCCTGTGTGGTCAATTGTTGTTGCTGCTGCTGTTGTTGTTGCTGTGGATCACCCTGTTGCTGTTGTTTATTTAATTGTTGCTGTTGTTGTTGCTGCTGCAGATTTTGTTGTTGCAAAAAGTTCCCTTGCGAACCCGCCTGGGGTGTTGAATGAAATTGATTAGCACCCTGCTGAAGCGATGTCTGAGGATAACCAAATTGTGAGTCTGGTTGATATTGTCCGGAATTCTGTTGTTGTTGCAGAAAACGTTGCTGCTGTTGCAATTGCAGAGGGGTTAGCTGTGTCTGCCCCGGTCTCAATAGGTTGGAATATTGACGATAAGGTGTTTGATAAGGATTGAGGTTTGGACTTATACCGTCTTGATAGGGTTGAGTGTTGGCAATGAACTGCAACGACTTGGCAATGGCATCTGGTATGGGTGGTGGTGTTGGTATGTGGGCACCTTCGGCACGGAATCCTAATAGAAACAAAAAAATTGAGTTTGAAATAATTTATTAAGTGTATCATCATGAAGAGCTAAACACATACCATTTTCATCGGCAATATAACGCACTGTTATCGGTGTTCCCTCGGGTGATGTGTAGGAATACGAGCCTTGTACAACCTGAGCTTCTACAGCTTCACCTAGGCCCAAATTCTTCACATAACCCTGTGCTTGTGCAGTTGTTCCGTCACCAGCTGCATAGCCGTATTGAAAACTTCCATCATAGTTTAGTTCGTTTTGATATGCCGTTATTGGCACAAAGTTTTGATTGTAATTACGATAAATACTCTACAAACGAGAGATAGAGAGGGAAAATAACCCAAATCAAAATTCTCATTTTCAGATTATTTGCATACCTGTGGTAACAGTGGCGATATGGGTTGTAGAGGGTTAATACCCGGCGCTAGGGGATTTACAGGGAACGCCGACTGCTGTTGCGGTTGCTGCAGCTGTAATTGTTGACGTTGTCGTAATTGCTGACGTTGGAAATTCGGTGTCTGTCGTTGAAATGGTGATTGATTGAAGAGAGTATTTTGTTGAGACTGGCATGTGTTCAGCAACACCGCTAATGTTATAATGAAAACGGTAATAAACTGGAAAGAAAATAGGACGGAAAATATTACATATAGTAATGTAATATTTGAAGACAGTTTTATGTAGGAACTTTATAGTATTGCAGGTTTGTTGTACCTCGAACGTTTTGATTTATTATTAGTTTAAATTTTTGCATGAATGTAATGTGATAGGAACATTAACGGGCCGAAAATTAAGCCATTAGGCCACAAAACTATGCTAAAAACATTCTGGAAAGATTACCGAAATTTTCTTTATGTTTGAGTTATGTAAAAGATGGACATCGACAATTTTCGACCAAAAAGATTACCAAAATATTCTTTATGTGGGAGTTGTAAAAAAATAGGCATCGAAAAATTGAGACAAACGTATTTTTTTAATTATAGTCAGTTTGGTTTGAAAATGCTTTAAAACCTTAAAGGAACGCAAATAGAAGAGAAGCTTTATATTGTGGCTGTGTACAAATACAGACCTATGTGGGGAGTTTTTTGCATAAATGTGTTTTATTCTTAATGAACCCGCAATACCCAAAATACCGAATAAAGTAAACCAATATTGATAATTTTTTGATAGAAAGATTAGCTACCAAATGGGACTCCAAAATACAAATACCGAATAATGGTATCATTAAAAGTGAACCAATATTTTTTGTAGAGATCTGTTAGCCAAAGGGAATTCAAAGTTTTAAATTGCTGTCAATTCGATTGAACTAAAAGCCAAAAATCCCCAAGATACCCAATATTTGGGGATACCGTTATAGGGGGGTTATACCAGAAGATGGACTGATACATCCCATTTGCAATATGAAACAATGTATATGCAAAATTTCAGAGCCCTATATTAAATATTGCGATCTCTATCGTGATTTCAATCGTGCGAAATGAAAAAAGTAAATTTTTTTCTTTCTTAAATATAATATGAGTAGATTATTAATTGAATAAATATTTTATTTTAATATAGATCATTTGTACGCATGTTAAATTGGTATATGTTTATTAGATAATATATGGAAAGGCATTACTAATCGTGAAAATGTATTTAAACTAAAGACAATATTTTATATTCATTAAGGTCACAAAAATTTAAAAGTTCATTACTATTACTGTTTTGCATATAAAAATATAATCTGTATTTCAAATCATGTCTTCTACTTTTAGGTTTTTTTAGTTATATGATCAGTATTTACTTCAGATTTTTGCATAGACATAAGAGCCTGAACTTTGCATTTGATTTTCCAGATACTTTTTTCCTCGACGTGGTGTAGAAAAAATTCTTTCAGCTGACGCTGTGGTTACCGCTATTGTTATTAAGATTTGTAACAATATATTTATATTTGGAAATAGATTTTCGTCACATCTTACAATCGCATCAAGTGGATTAGATGATCGGGGATCTTTCGCTTTCCACATAGCAATGCACAGACCCACTTTCAGATATTTTTCATAAAATTGTATGATTTCTTTAAAATTTTAACATTAAATTTCTATAATGGGACAAATAATGTAGTTCTATAAAAATATTCGTATCGAATTCATTACATTTGACATTTGCTTTTGCGTGCCAACCCCCCTTGGCACGCAAACTTATACTTCCTAGAAATAAATCAAAATTAAATCTTACAATTTCCCCCTATTGCTTCCAACGATTCTACTATCTCTTCTATAGATTCGTTAAATATTTGTATGCGATCATGCTGCTTAACCCATCGTGTATCTCAACATGAATGTAGTCGATTGAATGATTTATTTGCTTCTACATAAAGTAGCAGATCCTTTAGGATTTCCCAAAGAATGAGCAAATGTCCAAAATTAAAGAAAATATGTTTCGAATTTCTCAGATCTTCGAAGCTGCATTTAAACTTAATTTTAAAATGTAAAAAAAAAACAATGAATGTAAACCGCCGAAGTGAATTTTGATGTAATAATGGACTTCACTTCATTACATATTCTCCAATTATTATTGTTGGATGTATTCTCCAATTATGTATATTAACTCGTTTCAAAATGCAATATACCTGTGTCCCAGAATACTCAGGTATGTTGCATTTTTGGGTGTACTCTCCAAATTTTATCTTAGTTTACGTCTAACGACAGTATTCAGAAGGCTTTACTTTCCCTCAAGGCGATGTCTTCCCATTCACACAATAATTGTTTGTCTTTTGTCTTCTTGACCGCTCTAACTTTATACTTCTGTTCTTTCAATGTACATGAAGCCTGATGTAAACATTTTCCGATATAAAGTCCAGTCCTCATCATAATTGTGGTATTCCTTTTTTCGTGGGAGATGAATCATTCAGTAGCATCTTTTCAATTTGTAAGAGGTTGTGACAGAAGTAATTTTTGGGACTTGGTGGTTGCCCTTTCCTAAGGCGACCAGATTTTGAAAATATGGGTAAATTGTTGGTCCAAAGCGAAGTACACCTATATCGATATTTTGCAACCCATATGCCACAAGGAATTGTAAAATACAATTCCGCACACCTAAAAACATAGAACACAAAATATCAAATTACAAAACGTGTCCAGAAACCCTGAAAATACCAATCTTTAATAATAACTATTTTTATGGAGATTTGTTACCCAATTAGAACTCAAAATACAAAATAACAGATAATTCGGTTGGAAAATGTGTCAAAAAATCCTGAAAATACCGAAATGTGGGGAGTTATATGGGGTTTCCTTTTAAGATTCGGACTCCTTTTCTTAATATTTCACCGGCATTTCATAAAATTTATTTATTAATTTGTTTTAATTTACAAAAATAAAAATTGAGCAAGGTTTTACCCATATAGATGACAATGATGAGATTATAGAAATAGATGACAGATAGAGGACATCAATTTTATAGATGAAAACCAGTTAAAATAGATGATTGTTCCTACAAAAATAGGTCGTATGACAACCGTACCTTTCCGCACCCTCCTTTATTATACCCTACACAACTATGTTGTCAGGGTATTATAGCTTTGTGCAGCCCCAAAAGTTTGTAACGCCGCGAAATATTGGTCCTAGACCCACCTTAAGTGTACCGATCGTCATATCTCGACTAGCTGAGTCGATCTAGACATGTGTGTCCGTCCGTCCGTCCGTCCGTCTGTCCATTATAATTTGTAAACACGATACAGGCCACAGTTATGGACCAATCTTCACGAAATTTTGCATGTAGGATGGGTTCTGGCCAATGAAGACCCCTATTGTCTTTGGGAAATATCGGTTAATATTTAGGGGATGAAATGGACCAAATACTAAATTTTTGGAGAAGGGGATCGGGCCAAAGAATAAGCATGCCTGTTTTGATAAAGATTGGTCAATATTTAGCGGGTCAAATGGACCCTGACTTTTGTGTGAAAAATGACAAAATTTGTATTCTATAGCGTATATATTTACCCCTGAAGGACATAGACCCGAGAAGTTTATATTATATCCAAGAGGAGTGGTTGACCTTTAAATTAATACCAATTATATTATTGTATGTGCTCGGATGTGGGAGTTACACCTAAATATTTACAGGTTACTCCGTATCCGTATATTATTTAGTAGCCCATTATCACTCTAGAGAGCGGAACTATAGCGCTGATCGCTTTGAAATGTTCCATGAGGTTCCAGTTATGGTAAAGGAGAACGCCCATAATTTTCGGTGATGATCAGATAATAATTTTGAAATGAAATGGACCGAAAACTTAATTTGTTGTGTTATTTTCAAGTCGATATATAGACCACAAATGAAAGCCGAACATCACAACACAACCCACGGTGAAGGGAATCTGGACAATAGCTGTACTGAATACTCGTAATATTCGGAAAATATGTGAGTGTGAGGAAGAGGTGATCTTTACCTCTAATCGGAATAAACATCCGAAGAAAATTTGAGTTCCGTGGTAGTTGTGTAGGGTATCGTATGGTCGGCCCCGTCCGACTATACTGCTCCGCTCACTGGTTTGAAAATAAGATGCCGATTTTACAAAACACACAAATCAAAAAACAAAAATCTGAATATACGATACACGAGGGCTATTAAGTAATTTTTATTACTTTATCCACAATCTTTGCTCTTCTTTACACTTTTAATTTGGTTTGGCATATTCTTCGCCAATTTTTTTTTTATAATTTAATAGGGGGATTTTGTGGCATTCCTCTTGTGAGTGAAGAAATTTGGAGAAATCTTGTAGAATTAAAATTTTCTAGGTAGGTTCATAATATGAACAAATGTTTCCAATTTTCTGTATGTCTAAGGTCTTAGCCTGAGTGTCTGTAGTTTGGCATTATTGTTTCAGAAAAAATACCGATCTATTCTTGGTATTTTGAACGAAATCTCATGATGTATTAAAATGAGGTATAAAAATTCGTCCCGACTGATTTTTATTGTGAATTATTTTTGTGTGGAAAACGTCTCTACCAAAATTATCAATATAGATTAATGTTTCAGGGTAGCCCCCATAGAGCGGAACTACAAGCCCTCCTCCTTGATTTTTGGGTATTTGGGCACGTTTTCACGCGAATTGGCACATATTTGAATGCATATTGTGTAGCAAATCTTTTTACCAACAATTGTCAATATTGAGCCACTCTTTAGAGTAGCCACGATGTAACGGTACCCCTATAATTCGGTATTTTGGTAAGTTTGGGCACGTTTCGAACTGAAAAAAATCACCGAAAATAATCAATGGTCGCCGATATTCACCAAATTTCGGTATTTTTCTAAATTTAGGCACGTTTTCCAATCGCATTGGCTTCAATTCGATATTTTGGATTCGCATTGGGCAAAAAATCGTCCTACCATAAAAAATCAATATTGTATCCTGTTTCGTGTTAGCGGCATAGAGCGGCATCGAAATGTTTCGATGTCCATCGTCTGACATAAATCCTACATAAAGAGGGACAAATTTTCGGTACTCTGAAGTGGTAAAAAATTTCCATTTACCCCATTCCTGGTGAATAGAAAACTTCTTTGCAGAAAGTTGTCGATATAGTTTTATGATTTTTACGTCTCTCGCATACAAAGGCTCCCTTAATTCTATGTTCCTAGGCCAGTTTTCCAACCGGAGTGTTTTTTAACATTTTCCCAAATAAACAACATAATTACAGACAAATTACAATGATAAATTCACCATGCAGACCACGGTATGCAAATTCGACTCGGGAGAACTTAACGACGTTTTTACTTATCCTGGCATATAGCATTCAAAATTGCCACGAATCATGAAAATCGATACGATGTAACTAACGAATTTTTCTTTTATATATAGGTAATTTTTTCAATAAATATACCCTTCATTTTGATATAATTCTAAAGTTTCTAGCTTTTCTGGTGCTACTCCCTTTAAATTAGTTTATACTATCAACCATTGTATGGTAAAGAAGGAGTCGTTTTAGATACCAAGGACAAACGTACTTTCCGGGCACCCCTATAATCTAGAACCTGGCTTTGGTACAGTAATATACTACGGCTCCGAAACTGTATTATAGAGTTTAATCCTTCCACTTCGAATTTCCTATATTTTGGCATTTTTAGTTCTTAGTGGTAACTAACGCCAAAGTGGAAACTTTTTTTAGAGGACGTATATATACGATATACTCTATCTTCGGACTTGGTTAAGGTACATATAAATTGTGTACAAACTACACTATATCTGTGTGAATCAGTTCAGATTTAGATATAGCACCCATATATAAAACCGTGCGATTTTATATAAACTGAAGCAGGTAAGACAAATAAATTTGGATCCGATTAATATAAAGCTCGCATACATATTGTTTTCCGATGTCATTTGAATGGTCCACCAAAGAACTATGTTAGTCGAAATGACACGAAATTATGATTTTTGACTTTTTTTAACCACTTGTTTCAATAAATATAAATACATATGTATGTATATCGATTTTTTATTTGTCTTTTTTTATTGACAAAAAATTACCCGATATCTTATTTTCTCCATTGTTCCCATGATTCCGCGTAGAATTCTCAAATAATTCACAACAAATTGAAATCACAACAAACTTTGTTTTCCGTCTGGGGTTTCACTACATTCACTTCGATTTGTTATTATTTTCGAACTGATACAAAATACAAAATAAAACCAAATGACAATTTCGACAAATTTGTTGTACTCCTCAACACTCGATTTGAATAGGCCAATTGACAATTAGCATAGAACACTGGGCACACGGTTTACAGTAAACGATCGTTATGACGGATATCGGTTCGAAGATGCAAATATTAGATGTGCAATTATCTCTTTAAGCTTTGCAAATAAACTAATTGTGGATCAGCAATTACTCTGCGTATTTATACAATGACAATGCCTCAGGGCATGAACGCACCTCTCAGCAAACAAACGAACGAACGAACAGACAAACAAACATACACTCGTACGCATTGTAAGCCATCACCACCTCCAATTTGAGGTTGCAGCATTAACAGCTGCAAACGTTTTCTACTGGATCATTATTCTTTTTTTTCAGTTCAGCCCAGAATCTATGGAATGCAACAACCACAAAGGGGGTGGTGCTGACGGCTGTGGGGGAATGACTGAAATGTAGCGGTAAAACGGTTAACAAGCAAATAACACAAACAAACAATGATCGCTGGTGCCAGATGCGCGTTGCAATCTGTCAAAACATCAGCTCATATTAGCAGTAGCCAATAAAAGTTTTGTACGTTTCCGGTTTAGATACTGGGCACATCATCAAGCAGTAGTGAACGATTTGGACGTTTGTGGGTGTGTGTGTGTGTGAGCGTTTATATGGCGCTATCATTGACCAAAATGAGTTGCAATAGGAGTATCGAAGCAAGTTACTGCAGAACTGTTGCATTATCATCATCAAAATCAAGTTTATTACCATTGGTTTTTGCTGTTGGTCGTTAGTTTATCGCCGGTTCGGTAGCGTTTTCACATGAAAATTTATTGTTTTTTTATTGAACATTGACGGAAGGACAAATAAATCTTGTCGGTGGTCAGTTTTGTTGGTATTGTAATGTTCTATTGGAATACACTATAATCGGTAGAGATGAAATAATTCCACTCCCAATAATAAGATTAAAGTTATGAGTCGATATAGTTAAGATCTGTATTATGCTTCGAAATTTAGGATACGTATTTATATTATACAACATTTTCATATAATGCATTTGGAAAGAAATTCGCAAATTACAACAAATAGGAATTCATTTAATTTATATTTGAAATACAAGATTTGAAACGGCTATAACTTTTTTGCGCAGCATCCGAATTTGAAAACGCGAACAGATTTCGAATCAGCATATTTTCCTTAAAATATGTACCAAAAACCATGAATGTGCTCGCAAAAAAAATTTCAATTTTTTTATGGAATTTTAAAATAATTTTGTAATTTCCCATATGCAAATCCAAAACATTAAACATAGGGTGAATCAAATCCTGCATACTGATCTTCTTTTGATGATATCCAACAAATTTGTTTCTCTATGTACGTCGGTTTACATTCAACAAATACAACTACACACATACAATTCAATTCTTCAATAGAGACGTTAATAAATTTATGATGTAAAATTCAGTGTTATTTTATGATCTTCATTGTTGAATTTCGGTTTTATGTTAATTTGTTTTTCAATTGTTTGTTTTTCCATCTTCTTCATCATCATCGTTGTTTTTGTTGAAAATTTAGGCTGATTTTCAAAGACCGTACAGGGCAAAAAGTTTTATGAGTTTGGAGAAGAGGTTAAGGTTGTCATAAATTCTGTATGTTCAGAATTTTCAAGGGATGTACTTGAATTATTGGTGTAATGATATTTGCGATATACAATTAGTGTTTATCGTTTTTGTATCCATGTGCTTGTTAAATATAAATTATTGTAGGAATATGTTGGAAAAGAAGGGAAATATACCAGAAGGTAAAATAGTTTTATGCCAGAAAAGGGTCAATACAAGTTTACCTTTTCAAATAGTGCCAATTATTCCACCTTTTGACACAAATTGTGACAAAGTTGCTAAATTTCGACCAAATGAACGAAATGTAAATTTGTCTGTTGAAATCACGATTGAGATAAAACTCGAAATGTTGATTATACATTGATATTACTCCTACAATTTTTGGTACATAAAATGGTATGTATCGGTACATATTTTAGTTAAAAGCCCCAATTTCGGTATGTTGAAGGTTTTAGACGTGTTTTCCAATCGAAGTGACGATAAATTTACACACTGGATTAAGTAAGGTGACAATATATTTGTAGAACATTTTTAATATAGAACCATATTTTGACTATACCCCAGTATAATTATGGGTATTTTTATACCCATTGGCGAATTTTCCAGCCCATGGGAATGAATGCACTCTGGGTTGTCAGAGGCTAAAAATCTTTACTTTGAAGGTTTTAGTCGCATTTTCGAACCGATGTTGCTGTAATTTGACATCCCAGGTTCGTGAAGGATTATAGACTTGGTCAATATATGTCCATGACTTTAACATAGGCAATATTTTTCAACATAGTTTTATACATCCAACCAAAGCACCTTTAATTCGGTATTTCGGTTTCTCACAGTTTTAAAACATATTTGAGGGTCCGGGTTCTTATAGGGTTAAAACATATTTGCAGAAAATATCATACCTATGCCCAGGTTAATATATATAAAGTGAAAGAAATGCTTTCATGTCATTAAAGCTGCTATATTTATACGAACCAAGTTCCAAACTTAGTGCATACCGCCTTTTGGCACTCACAATTGCTATTTGATGTTTTCACACTATAAATGTCAAAACTGTCAATCACAAGATGCCGCACATAATCAAAACAAATAGACATCACATCACAACAAAGCCAACATAATTTATTACACCGAACGAACACACACCTCCACTTTACATGGGTAATTGTAAATTTTATATATTTCCACATGCAATTGTTGTTGTGTAAAATATTCCACCAGCATTGGAAGTGACTGTAGTCACTGAGTGTCACTGATAACTTCATTTACGTTCAAAGTGCGTAATTATTCATTTAGTACAATGAGTGAATGATATACACGCACGTGTTTCTGTGTGTGTGTGTGAGTGCGAATATTATTTTTTGTTATTATTGTTAACATTAATCAATGTTGTCTAGCAGAACGCTGATCATAAATCACAACATGGAATTTACATTAAGAACAATTAAGTAAGAGACTGTAAGGTGTTTACAACGAAAGACTTAAGAAACGAACACATTTTTCGTTGTCTGACAAATTTGACGCAATTAATTTAGCTGATATAAATCCATCAGCATTAAATCCAGATTAATCTTCATTTAAAAATAATGAAAAGAACTTTAAGTGGAAGTTACAACGAATTATTACTTTATGATAGGGTAAAGATTAAATTAGTTTTATTTGAGATGTCGAACATGACAGAATGTGTGTGACCTTCTATTTTGAGGCCTACCCTACGGCTCTCGAAAGTATTTCCGGAAATGATTAACTATCTAACCAATTCTGAATTTTTTATCAATTAATCAATTTATTAATTAGAATTATTTTAAATGTTTATTGTTTATAGCGTAGAAATAAATATTTCTTGCGTGAACATATTCGTATATACAGGTTTCAAAAATATTATTAAAATATTGTGTGTGTAACACTACTTCATTTAAATGACCTCCACGTGAACTGTTGCAAACATTGATTCTTTTGAGGTAAATTTTCTACCACGTAAGTGCTCAAGAGCCTTTCTCGTACACATACAAAGACTAATGGTGTCAAATTGCATGATCTCGGAAGCCAGTTGATATCGCCACGTCGAACATTTTCGCGACCAGGAAATGTCTCTTGCAATAAAACCAAATTCGCGCGAGTTTTGTGGCGTCATTTTCTTCAATAGCAGCCAAATAACGACGGTTATCAAATGACCACAACGCTCCGAATTGTTCTATTGTCCGCTTTGAAAAAGTTGAGTCCAACAACACCTTCGGCCGAAAAAGAGCACTGACTTTTAATGACCTCTCTTCAATTATTTGAGAATTTTCAGAATACCAAAAGCGACAATTTTGTTTATTAACACACTCGTAGTTGGACAATTATGTAAACCATAATCTCCTATTTAAGTAGGATATTAGGCTATATCAGAATCGTCATTTTGGCGACAATTTCTAAACACTATTCATTTTGAATTTTTTTTTATACCCACCTCCATAATATGGAGCATGGACGTACGTAGTTAAAACATTGTCGAGAATTATAAAATTTAAATGTTAAGATTTTAAAGAAATCATACAATTTTAAGAAAAATATCTGAATGTGGATCTTTGGATCACTATGTGGAAAGCGAAAGATGCACGACTTAATCGCATTTAAGGGAATCCCCCCCCCCCATTCTCGATTTTAATTTTTCAAGATTTTCAATGGGCTGGTAAATCAATACCAACGCTTGTTAATGTTTGTAACTTTGCATATATATATTTGAAGATTTAAAAGAGAAGAAAAATAATTTACAAAAAATTTTGTTATTGTTTTGTTGTTGTTTTTTGTAATTACAGAAAAGTCCTTATTTTTCATGGCGGGCATGATAACTCCGCACTGGAACATCGGAATCCGAAAATTCCAACGATGTTAGAAAGAGCACATGTCTGTCCCTCGTATGAACTAGGATTATTGACTTCGCTCTAAAATTAACAAAATGGCGGACCTTTGAAAAAATATTTTTGGAAAATCACCGATTTTTTTACCAAAAACCAAGTTAAAAAATAAGGAAGATCTTTACCGATTGGCTTTATACTAGTTCATACGATAGCTATACACTCACAGAGAAACGTGTAAAAATTTGGAATCGATTGGGTCATTAGTTTTTGAGTTATCATGCCCGCCATTCACAAAAGAGAAAAACGCGTTTAAAGTTTGAGAAGCCCTTTAGCCGTCACTTGATGCTGTCACAATAAATCGGCTATATCTTCAAGAGTTCTTGAGATTTTCTCTTGAAATTTTGTAGGGACGTTTTG